GACGTGCAGATCTGTCCTGGCAGAGGAGGGAGAGCTTGTACCTGAATAAAACTTGGTCTCAAAGGTGCCACTGGACTGTTTTGGACCGGGGGGCCGGGGGAAGCTTTGCAGCTTACCTGGCTGCTTCTTGCTCTGACTGAGGGCTGCTGGGATGCCCGCCCCCTGGGATCTCTACTGCCGGAGCTCCGCTCCTGTGTGCTCCTGCAGGAAATGACCCCTGGTGTTCTCCCATTTACCTATTTGAAACGTTTACACATCACCTCTTTATCTCATTATATCCAAGGCAGCTTACAGTATAAACAATAATATCACAATATGCTAAAGTCACATGAAGCTGCCTTATACTGAATCAGACCATTGGTCCGTCAAGGTCAGGATTCTCTACTCAGACCGGCAGTGGTTTTTAATGGTCTCTGGGCAGAGGTCTTTCACGTCATCTCCTACCTGATCCTTTAAACTGGAGGTGCCGGGGACTGAACCTGGGACCTTCTGCATGCCAAGCAGCAGAAGAAGAAGAGATTGGATTTATACCCCGCCCTTCACTACCCAAGGGAGTCTCAGAGCGGCTTACAAACTCCCTTCCCCTCCCCACAACAGACACCCTGTGAGGTAGGTGGGGCTGAGAGAGCTCTGACAGGAACTGCTCTTTTTCAAGGACAGCTGTGCCAGAACTATGGCTTGCCCAAGGTCATGCAGCAGCTGAAAGTAGAGGAATACACACAACGCCAGCAGCAACCTGGAAGCTACTTCCTTGGGCCTTCGCCATGACACCTGGGTAATCTTTCAAGCTTTCTCACCACCCAAATGTCACTCTTGGTGGATGCATGTCAACAATAGATATGGTGGACGCATGTCTACAATAGATATAATCGTTTCCAATCCTTTGTGTGAATTGCATAATATCTCCATCCAATTTTCTCAGAATGCCAAAGTAATTTACATCCAAAAAGTTGCTCTGGAGGGGCCTCGGCAAGGGCTCGAGACTAAGCCACTTGCCTGAAAGGGGTTTATAAATCTGCCAGTTCTGTGGTATTTGGCAGACAAGCACTTACTCTCGAGTTATATAACTGCTTGGAATAGATGTCTGGCACTAGCTCACTTCTTTCAGTCACAGGATTTCAGACTACTTCTGATTTTTTTTAAAAAAAGATCCCAAACGAAGGAGATAATCTCTGCAACAACTGACCCAGGGAGCTGTAACAATCTAATGCTGATGAGGCTGGACGAGTCCAGCATGGGGACTTGCCGCCATTTTGGAGGTATGGAATCCCTGGTGGAAACTTCTTATAAGAGTGCTGTGGGCCCCCGAATTGGTGCAGGAACACAGCATAGGGGGAAGAGGGGCTCCCTACTCCCCTCTGCGCCGTTTTCTCAAGCTGAAATAGCAGCAGGGTCGTTATAGACCCCAGGGAAACAGTGCGGGCGGCAGGCGAGAACCTCTCCCCACAGCACTGGCCCATACCAAATTGTGCCCCCGTGGCACTGTTAAAAGGAGTTCTCACTGGGACTTCCACACACACCCAAATGGCGGTTGGGACCCAAGGCAAACTCACAGACTTGTTATTGTCTACTTTGGCCTTCGCTTTCGGCTAATGGTGAGAGCCAGTGTGGTGTAGTGGTTAGAGTGTCAGAGTAGGATCGGCGAGAACCAGGTTCAAATCCCCTCTCTGCCATGGACAGCTGCTGGGTGACCTTGGGGCAGTGACACACTCTCAGCCTAACCTACCTCACAAGATTGTTGTTCTGAGGATAAAATGGAAGAGAAGAGAATTGTGTAAGTCACGTTGGGTCCCCACTGGGGGGGAAGGTGGGATATACATTAAGTAAATAACGTTAACATTCTCTGTCTCATGGAGCACGCTCAGTTTTTATCAGAATGCTTTGAAGGAAGGGACCTTTTTTCTTTCGTTTTACAAAACTCTTCTGCATATTCGGGGAGCCCCTTGGGCATGGTAGAAACCCCCTGCCTGGTCTGTGGGTGGTCTGAATTTCCTGCTTTCATGACTCGGACAAGCTGCATGCTTCCCTACGTTTGGTGACTTGCGTGCGTAACGAACCGAATGAATCCGTAACAACGGCGATGGAGAAAGGGGTTTTTCGTCGCTGTTCAAACTGAAGCGACTTGCGTGCGTGACGACCCGAATGAATCTGTAACGATGGCAATGGAGAAAGGAGTTTTTCGTTGCTATTCAAACTGAAGCCTGCACTGTACAGTGGAGATAACCTCTGTTTTCCCCAATTAATACAGACAAATGTAGCCAGAGGCCCTATGTTGAAGGAAACCATGGTTAATCGTGCACGAGCTTGTGTAATGACACAGATTTGTATTTTGTTTTCCACGCTCACCTGGATACCACTGTGCAGCTGACTACTGGAGTTACGCAGGAGCTTTCCTATTCAGATTAACCCCTGATTAGCTTGTGTTTTTTTTTGAAGCTGCAAAACAAGCCCCTGCCAAAATGTAGCTACGATTAACTGAATTCTTGTCCTAAACCTGTAGGTGGAATTGTTGCCAAAGGCATCACAGAAAGGTAGCAGCCCTCACAAAGGGCTCCATTGACACAATTTGGAAGGAATTTCGGCATTCATTAGGAACTTCCTTCTTTCAGTTCCTCGTTTCTCTTCTATTCCCTTCTGACTCTCTGCCGGCCCCCGTACTCTCTCTATACATGGAACACTCTAATGTATCAGGATATTTGCATTTCTTTTGATCCCGAGAAAGAATTAGAGGTCTCTCGCAGTCTCGGTGACAGCAACATTACTCACGGCGTGCTTGCAACTTGTGTCTTGTCCGTCGGCGGGAAGAGAGCAGAAATCTCTCCTTGCACGCGGATGGAGCAATAGCTCGTTTGAGAGTGGTGGAGAGGGACCTTTCTGCCTATTCTCCCTACCCGCTGTGGCCGCCTATGCAGTATTCCACACTGGTCCTGGGTATGGAAAGGGACGCGGTGATAAAGTGCAGCAAAGGGCTCTGCTTCATTTGCAGTGGTTTGAATCTGAGCCATACCCTTGGGCCTGGCGGCACGATTTCAAAAGCTGGGCGGTTATGAGGAAATAGCTTTTTTCCCATTCCCTCCCTCGAAGCCACGTCCAGAGGTGAAGCTGTCCCACCTAGGCTGTGGGCTGGCTCGCTCGTCAAGTTTCCCAGCAGAGGTTTCACAAAATATCACCACTAAGTAGCTTCTGGTTGGTGGCTCCCCTTCAGTGGGTTCGCCTCTCCGTAATGTCTCCATTCCCTGCTCTTATCGGCAAGCTTGCATGCGGGCCTCCTTGCCACTGGATATCCTGACTGGCTCGCTTGTCAGTTTCTCAGTAGAGCTTTCACAAAATACTACCGCTAAATAGCTTCCGGTGGGTGGTTCCCCTTCAGTGGGTTTGCATCTTTGTAACAACTCCCATTTCCCGCTTGCGTCAGCCAGCCTGCGTTTGGGACTCCTTGCCACTGGATAACTTTCCACTTTAGGATAATTGATTTGTTATGATGTTTTATGAAAGATTTGAATTGTATTTATATATGTATTTTATGTAAGCCGCCCTGAGCCTTCTTCGGCGGGGAGGGCGGGATATAAATTGAATGAATGAATGAATGAATGAATGAATGAATGAATAACTGATCGGCCAACTTGTCAGTTTCTCAGTAGAACTTTCACAAAGCATTGACACTAATTAGCTTCCAGCTGGTGGTTCCCCTTCAGCGGTTCCCCTCTCCGTAAGATCTCCATTCCCTGCTTTTGTCATCAAGTCTGCATTTGGGACTCCTTGCCGCTGGATATTCTAGCTGACTGGCCGTCTGCATCCACCCCTTTTAACGGAGCAGAGAAAATCTTCAGCACAAAAGTACATTCACGTATGGCGGGAATACTGATCTCCTCCCCAATACGAGCAGTGCTTGGGACAGGAGGACCATGTCGCTCACCTGATAGACAAGTTTTCTCTTACAGATCTGAAACGGACACTCCCCCCAAACAAACTTCTCAAAACTTGCTCGATAGTCAAATCCCGTATAAGGTTTCAACGGTGGGACACGTCCATAAAATTATCCACAAACCTACTCGTCAGCTGCCTGGCGCTAAATAGCAAGGTCAGGCAGAAAGAGAGCCAGAAAAAATAGTCTGAACCACAGATGCCATAATTTACTGACCGCTCAAAAATGGCAAGCCAAGCACTGTTACTTACTTCAGAGGAATTCGTGAAACGGCGTTCAGGTTGGTGGAAGTGCTTGCTGCTTGGAGGATCTGCTCCAGGGCCGTAAATCCCCCCGCTGCCTGAAACGCCACCTGATCTGCTGCATTCTGGATTTAAAAAAAAAAAAAAAATTAGTCAAAATAGCTAACTGAAAAATCAAGGCAGAGTCTGATAACATTTCACAGAGGTTGCTGTTCAGCGCTGTCACTCTTTCAATAACAAGACCTGGATGTAAGAACATTATACCTCCGTTACAATGTTGAAACAATAGGTCCAAACAAACTTTTTAGTCCATCTCTCAAAAGTGCATGGAAAACAGGGTTATAATTGTGGAAGCTCTTTTGAAATAAAGTCACTAGCCTGAACGCATCCCCCCCCCCCATTTACTCTGCCTGCCTATTTATTTAGGGGATTTATGTGCACAGACCCGAAATCTCCTCCACAAAGCAACAGCTTACATTCCATTGGTTGAAAAACCAAGAGGGCAGAATACGTTCTTGGGGGTGAAAATTCGGTTTGAAATACACAATTGTCCTGCAGTCCAGAACCTCTCTCTTCAGATGCAGGCTGCGCACCACACAGCCCTTTAATGTTCATGCGCAGGTATGTATCTCCATGTCCACTGGAGGTGATGCATCTATCCACCCACCCAGAGATATAACTGTGCAGGTGGGGCGGGGACGCTAAACCCCGAACAGCGACCAATGAAAATGTCAAGAAGCCATCTCTACGAGGCGAAAAACAGGCAGAGCGATTTACTAAGAATGGCTGGAGCGCCTGCTTTCGTAGGGGGCACACGAGATACTTAAGCTCCCTTTGTTTATTCTATTGCTCACGTGTGATTATACAGGCAGAATTAAACTAGATCCCCGAACGCGTGTGGCTCACTTATTTCCCTACCTGATACAGCACCTTAATGGCTCTGAATCCCACCCTTATCTTTCCTCCTATAGTCAGAACTAATAGGATTACAGGCTTCCTTCCAATAATACAGCTCAGCCCCATGCCAGCAAAAAAAAAAAGACAGCCGAAAACCTGAATTACATGGCCCCGGGAATCCATCCAATTATTAACTAAAGTAACTGTTATTACCTAACCTAATCAAAGGAGAAGCAGCTGTTAATCTTTGGTGGCCTGCAGTGCAGCCCCGGTCAGACTGGATGAACTGTCTTTGTACTTGACTCCTCTGCAGATGATAATTATGTCCTTTGTGATCAAGGAGGAAGAGGTGCCTGCCTCGGAAGCCCGGACGGCAGATGGGGGGACAACAGCTCCCGTGTTCGTGAGCAAGGCCAAGGCAAGCCCTCCCGGGGCCGGGACCTGGTGGCCCCTCCAAAAGCACCTTCTTGCTGCATCGTACCCCCAAAATCATGTCGGTCTCAAAGGTGCTACTAGACTTGAATGTAGCTGTTCCTACTACATGGTGACTCGTGGAGCATATGGGGACCTGGAAAAATTAGCTAGTTTCCGTGTCCTTTGAACAGTCTTGCATTGTTTTTAAGAAGTGTGCGACTGTGTATTTTGCCATATTGCTGGTTGATGTATATATACACCCCACGAGCTAACGAACTGTCAAAATATAATTGACAAGAAGACATTCTTATGTGCGAGCATGGAAATTATGGAACAAGATCCATGATCCGAATAATGTCACCATTTGGCCACATGGCGTAAAATGTGAACCAATTAATATCGATTTTGGCTTATTATACCAACAACTGTTCTTGGTGTATGTACATGTGTATCTGTGACCACTCGAGACGGCCCTTTGGGTCAAAATGTGTTTGGTCTTGTTTACTGTGACTGTGGTCTTATTTGTATGTCATCAACTTGTGGATAGTTATTTATTTGTATTATTTCATGTACACTGAGGACTATTTAGTCCAGTGGTTTCAATCCAGAGGCTAAATTTAAGGACTATGTTTTTAATTTGGATTTTCGGTGCACTGCACACCAAGAAAGTCCAGGGTCGCTGCACAGAGGCAGGCAATGGCAAACCACCTCTGCTCACCTCTTGCCTTGAAAACCCACCGGGGTTGTCGTAAGTCAGCTGCGACTTGACAGCGCTTCACACACACAAACAATTTTGCCGATCTGCTCTGCTTTCTAAGCCGGGGCAGGGGAACATTATGGCCAAGTCGATTCATACAGAAGGCAAATCAAAAGTGTTCAGCAATATTTAAAAGGTGCGGGCGTGTACGGCGGTGATGATAAGGTGAGAAAATAAGTGTGCAAGGTATGTGAAACACTGGATGGTATACTATCAGAGCGTGTAGGGTTACCAGATGTCAGCCCCATACCTAGGGATTTTTCTGTGAGGGGGCATGGGGGGGCTTTCCCTCCTCCCCGGCAAGGGCAGCCCTTCCCTGTGGAGTATCTGGCTCCCTCCTGCACCAGGAGTAGCTTGACCTTTACCCTCGGCTTCCTGGGGCCGGGAGAGGCGGGACATGCAGTGGCTAGGTTGGCTACGAAGCTGCGGTATGTGGGTGCACTGGTGCTTGGCTGGGCTTACCTCCTACTGGTGGGGCGGACAGCAAGCATCTCTCAGCCCAGCCTCACCGCCTCTGCTGCTTGTGCTGCCCCCGTCCTCCCTGCCAACAGGCAATGGGGGGGGGAGCCAAGGCTCAGGGAGGGGAGGCCTTTAAAAACCACTAGGGGGCCGGGCCCCCGTGGTAGCTACGGGCCTGCCAGATGTCCTCTTTTTATGGTGTCCATCCTCTTTTGGGCTCTTTAAAAAGAAACTGATGAAAATGTCCTCTTTTGGGGCTGGAAGTTTAGGAATATTCCTAGTTAGCAGCAATGATCCCAGCTTAAATACGAGTGTTATTTAAAATGAAATCTGTCGTAACGATCACTTGTTTAAAGTAGTCAGTCAGGGAACGGGTCCTCTTTTTTGCTTTTCAAAATATGGTAACCCTAAATAAATGCGTCATGTTGCCTCCCTGATGCAATTTTTTTTCCCGGTCAGAATGCTCCCCCCAGTGAATTTTTGTCGGCAAAGAGAAAAAAGATATGTAAAAAAAAATATTTTTGAGCACACGGGCTGTTTTTAAAATTTGCTGGAAACTGTGTGTGTGTGTGTGGGAGATGCCCGCCATGTCTATAGGGTTGGGGGGGGCACCATGACCTTTTGGGACACCATGACCTGCAAGCAGATGAGTAAACAGAAAGGAACCTTGGATGGGAAATTTAAAGAATGCTGACTATAGGTAAATACCTTAATTCATTTGAGAAAAAACCTCTGTTCGAGCTCCATTAAAAAGGTGAATGAAGCCGGAATCTGTTCAGTGCTGCTGACAGACACCAGAGGTCAGCAGTAATACAGAGGAAACTTTGGGCAATGTTTCAAGAGGATCCAGTGTAATCAGAGTCCAGTTCTAAATTTACAGTAGATACATATAGCATTTTTACCCTGACCTGGAAAGCCGAGGCTAGCCCAATCTCCTCAGATCTCAGAAGCTAAGCAGGGTTGGACCTGGCTGGTACTTGGGTGGAAGACCACCAAGGAAGACCAGGGTTGCTATGCAGAGGCAGGCAACGGCAAACCACCTCTGTTCATCTGCCCTGACCTGGATGGCCCAGGCTAGCCTAGACTGCTCAGATCTCAGAAGCTAAGCAGGGTTGGACCTGGCTGGTACTTGGGTGGAAGACCACCAAGGAAGATCACAGCCGTTATGCAGAGGAACGCAATGGCAAGCTACCTCTGAACGTCTCTTGCCTTGAAAGCCCTACAGAGTCGCCATAAGGCAGCTGCGACTTGACAGCCTTTCCCATCACCATGCATCAGAATAAATGGGCATATTTAAAGAAACGCTGGAACCCACCCCCCTCCATCTAAATCACTCGTCCTGTAGATATTCATCGAGGACACTGCCTTCCGGCCAGTCACAAGCTCCCTAAGACATTTAACAAAGTCAAAACGGTCTAAATTACCATCTCTGTGAGATCACAACTGACACTGGAATCACTAAAATGGTAATTAGACGACGTTAGCAGATGAAAACAGGCCAAGACGAAAACAAAAACCAAACAGAACCCCGGCACGGTGCTTTCGTTTAACTGCTTTCAAAGGCTTTCCGGAACAGGAATGACGCTTGTTCCGGAAGGCCTGCAGGTATCCGTGGCCGATCTCACCTCCCGAGAGGGGGGAAACTGAGCGCCTTCGTCTCACGCCCCAACTATAGCTCGGAGACGCAATTCACGGCAGTCGCCCCAAGTTCCTCATAGCTATCAATAATTTCTACTGTCACCAAACAAATTCTGAAGTCAGAGAGGAAATCAGGTGCGGAGGGGAGACGATGAATCGGTCTGATGGAATCAACTGCACGGGGGGACCTCTTTAACAGAGCTCCTCTTGCTATTGCAACAGGACATTTTCTCTGAGCACGGAAACGTTGGCTGATAGTAGGGTCACCAGGTCCCCCCTGGCCACGGGTGGGGGGGCAGGGTTGCCAGCTCCAGGTTGGGACATTTAGGAGTGAAGCCTAGGAAGGAAGGGACCTCTGTGGGCTACACTCCCATGGAGTCCACCCTCCAAAGCATCCATTTCCCCCCAAAGGAACTGAGCTCCGTAGTCTGGAGGTGAGCTGTGATTCTGCGGGATTCCCAGGTCCCACCTGGAGGCTGGCATTCCTAAGGGCAGAACTTGGGAAAGGTGGAGTTTGGAGAGGTGAGGGAGCTCAGAGGAGATCTAATTCCATGGAGTCTAGTGTCCAAAGCTGCCATTTTCTCCAGGGGAAACGATCGCTGTTGTCTGGAGATGAGCTGTCATTCTGGGGGATCCCCAGGGCCTGCCTGGAGGCTGGCATCCCTAACCAGTAGGACTCTTAAGCAATGTTAACTCTAAGCTGTGGGGTCTTGTGAGCAAATA